AATCTTTAATTCAGTGATACTGGGCCTCTTTAGTCCCCACTCTATGAAACAAGCCGTGTTAGCTCCTGTTGCTTTGAGACCAACCTTTTCTTGATTGGATCGTTTTTAATGCCTGCAGCATTTCACCCTAAATGGGTGGGATGTCCTTTTTGTACTTTTTGAAAACAGATCAATCTGCGCAGCACGGGCCTGTTTTGACCTCTGAGCTGCACAGTAGATGTTTGTGTATCTTTGTTGGCGTCTCTGAAATATCAAAAACTTCCACAGTAAGCAGGATGGACTTAGTCAGCGGGTGGTTGCCATGGTTGCTACATCTTCTTTCGACTTTTTGGTTGGCTGTATCGGAGTGTACTCGGGCATGGAACTATGTTACTAAACGCGAACCAACGGAGGAGAGGCGAGGGGGGAGCTGTCGTGCTCTGGCTCCGTACAAAACAATCCTACCTAATGTGAAAACGCCCTTAGAGGTTTTATATGCCTCTATATGATCCAGCAGATGTCGCCCTTGAGCACCGGCATGAAACCAAAACAACTCGCGCTGCATTGTTGTGTTAGCATGCTAATGCTAGCGATCTTTATTATGCTGGTATCTTCACACTGCATGTAAATTTACCTGAAATGAGAGTGATCTAGAAACACAGTTAAGCAGTGAGTACAGTATGTTATTCTTCTTTTCTCTAGTCCCTCAATTAAACAACTTTTATACACGAGGGGAGGAGTCAGCCGGCCGTCCGGGCGATGTAAACAAAGTGAAGATAGGACTCTGAAAACTCTGAAAACATCACAGACAGTGGGACTCGGGTGTTACACCCATTGTAGACAGTCATGACTCACAGAGTTATTTTCAGAGGATATACTTGATTTATATTTAAGAGTGAAAAATCACTTATTAAGCCTTTAAGCACCTTTAAAGAACATATTGGCTGAGATCACACAACTGGAGAGGTGTCTGTTGCTAAATCGTTACTTACAGAAGTTATTGTTCTTTTCATTTAAGGGTTAAAAAATGTCTCATATAGTGACTGTAGGGCAAAAGATTTGGTCACTAACAGATCTGCCCTTGACCTTTTCCTATTTGCTTGAATGGACTGCAGATAATTTTATCAACACACCCCTAAGATCCAGGAAATGACTCTCAGTGCACCGTCGTCTGTCTGGGCTGTCTCTGGTGGCAGAGCGGTGCCTGGACCCTCCCTGTGGCCTACTTCGAACTTTTGGAGTGGTTTAAGGCAGAGCGGTCTGAAAAATCCTGGACAAACTGAGCCGATAGGACGGTGCGTCCCTGCACTCTGTGGGTTGCTCTTCCCGAAGCAGATGACCATATTAAGAACTCCAAAAGTCGCTAGTGTCAGCTAACTGGACACCAAGTATTTAGAGTCTGAAGTCTGTGCTTTGTAAGCAAAGGACTAACTTTATATGTCTATATGTGAAACTGTAAAAGAATCATCTGACGTTTAGCTTCTAAATGACATAAAATAAGGTCCTCTTTAAGATTGTTATACCATAAGTACTGTAACTCTAAATCCAATACAACAGGAATCCTCTATAGGGAAACTATTCACTTTGGTTTAGTGCAACTTTGTTAAGAGAGAGACCTTGAGATTTCATTCAATTGAAGCCCCCCCCCCTCTTTTTGAAGTGATATTGCTGGTTTGATGTTGTACAATTCCTTTTTCACATCATGCAATACTGCCAGAGTCTTTTTCTTTATTTTCTATTGTTGCTGCGTGTTGGATTCCAAAGCCTCCGCTGCTCCACTTGCCTCCCAGTAACACTCTGTAGAAAGCAGCTGCAGATTACACATTTGATCCTTGCACAAGCGTGCACATATGAAACAAGAACATTATTTCCCTTTTAGAACCGAGAGGGGAAAAAATGGCCTCAAAAAAAAAAAAGGAAGTGCTCCCTTCTCTCGGAGCAGGCAGCATGCCACCGCCGCCTCTTCAGAGGGGCTGTTAAAGGTATTTTAGATCAAAGTCAAAGGCGAATAAAGACCCCGGCTCCACACTTTACTTCAATTTCCCCCACCTTACCGGAGCATTGTGCCTCCGCTGTTGAAGTGAATAAGGAATGGCTCTTTGTGACGCTTCACACAGCGACGCATTCCTCTTTGACCCGCTCTATCTCTCCTTTTTCCTCTCTCACTGTCACTCCTCTGTTCCCTCTCTCACCCTCTGGGTCCTGTTGGACAAGAATTTAGCTCACACTTCACCTTCTCAATCTGTTTCCTTCCCAGCATATGCTCCCTGGCACACAGCTTTCCCGGCTCACATGCAGTATGCATGGAAGTGAATCTGCAGCAAACCTGTTGACACGTGTTCACATGTGCAGTACTGAAGTGCAGGGGGAGCGGGGAGTTGACCCTCATTTCCCTCGTCTGTTACCCTCCAAATCACCCCTACCACATCCCACCCTCAGCTCCTCTCACACCCACGTGTTGTGGTGAAGCCTTTTCATTAAGAATCCTCGTGAAAGTTTTTCATGTGGTAGTCGGCGTGCGTCATCAAGTGAAGCTCTGGACCGCAAAGAAATGAAGTTGTCTCTTATCTGCTGTCTGGTGGGGGAACATTTGTTTACCACCATGATCTCCTTATTTCATTTGTGACAGAGCAAGAATAAAAGTTTTCACGTTTTTTAGTTTGTGAAAAATAACAAATACATGGTCATGGCAAACTGTTTTTATTTTTTTTAAAGGAAACAGGTTAATCTTTTTAAAAAACAGTTCCACCTAGTTTTGTTGTTAAGACCACGCTAACCGAGACCGAGACCTGAGTGCTTCGAGACCAAGACAGGACCAAGAACATTTAGAGATCATGAGCGAGTTAAGACCAACACCACGGCAGGGCGAGACCGAGACAAGACCGAGACCTTAAATATCACAGACAAGGGGGGGGGGGGGAAGGTTGCGGTCGAAACCAGGAGGATAAAAAAATTGAATTTTCAATGAAAAAGTCTCGAGACCAAGACTGGTTTTGAGTACTACACCACTAGTTCCATTTTTCCATCCAAAAACATCTCACTTCTTTTCAGGGCCTCTGCATGTCTTATATGTCAAGCAAAGTCACTAACACTCCTATCATAAGGCCAAACCTTTTCCATAACATTGAACTTCACCTAATTTGGTTTGTATATCAATTTGTTAATCAGTTGTTGATATCACTAATAGAAATGAAGTGTTAGTGGGTTTGAACAAAATGAAGCCATGGTCGTGAGCAGTTTCACATCATTGCAAGAAATGTCATCCTATAAATCATGAACAGAAATAATAATCAACAATCAACATGAAGACGTTGGGGTTCTGTACTTTTCTAAAAGTGCTGCGGTTGCAGATTTAGCGCCTGGAACGTCTTCGTTTCACCCTCCTCTTCTGTTTTCTGACAACAAACGTGGGAGTGAAAGTGATGACGGCAGGATGGGGGGATGGGGGGGGGGGGGATCCCTGTGGTTCCACAGAGATTCTTTGATTGTGTAGTTTGACATGATCTTCAAAGATACGACGCAGGAGAAGAGAACACACAGATAGGAGCTGCTGATTGGTTAATTGAAATAAACGTATGGAGTCTACTTTTGAGTATCGATTTATTTATTTTTGATCTCGTAGGAACATTTGGCTCTTCCTCTCGGTTTTATATAATCTTTAATTGACGACTTCGTCCGTCTTTGAACACTGGATGTCTTTTCAACAGACGAGTTAATCAAGAAAAGAATAAATGTTTTTAAGAAATCAGACAATCGCAGCTAAAGACGCTTTCACTGCTGTTTTAAACTCCGATATCTGCGCCTCACACACACGCTGCGCTCCATTGAAGGCAGATGAGCCAGAAATCGGACAATAAACTTTTTCTCCTCTTTGATGTCGGCCTCCTCCTCATCTTCTACCTCTGCATCTTTCTCTCTCATCTTCAGACGTTTCCCACCTCCCGCGAGGAGATCTCATCTATAGATAGACATGTGCTCTGCTTGCCTGATATACCTCCCTGCTTGCATGACTCTCACTTACTCAGCCCCCCCCCCCCCCCCCCCACCCAGGGCTTCCTGCCTGCCTGGCACAGCACCAGCCCACATCTGCAATGCTGATCTATAATTCTGTTTAATTAATGACCTGCCTTTCACAGATAGAGAGAAAGGCAGGAAGCTGACAAACTGCATCACAGCACTGCGAGATTTTTTTTTTTTCTGGTTGGAATTGTTGGAAAGTTTTCCTGGAAAAAAAAACCTTTGTGCATTTTCTCTGTTCATGGGGCACTCCTGCAGGTGTAGCAGAGCTTTTATTTTCCCCTGCATTTGAATTGCAATCAAAGTCGAGCGTTTTTTCCTTCAGAAGAGCTTTCTTGCTACTCAGCCTCCAAGGTTGTCACACAGCCCGTCAGTGCAGCTGCTCCCAGAGGCCACATATGTAATGTACATCCACCGACTACTTTCTGTTCCTGTTAAAAGCCTTAAAGATTCGTCGAGCGAGCACGATGCCTTTCATTCCCTGCTGATGTGTAGCTGAATAACCTCCTGCTATACCACTCCTGCCCCCTCCCTTTTTTTTTAACCCCATTTCTCCAAACCCTCCAAAGCTCAACCCTACATTCTACTGTAGCCTTGCTTTCTCTTTTTTATTTGAAGCCTGTGGAAGCTGGCTCTTAAATAGCAAAACCGCATGTATGATATGACATTTGAGAGTGTAATTAAGCATCTTTTAACTGATCAGACCGCCAGACTGTGGAGGCGTAACTCATCATGTTGTGATTGACTTCTGTCTGGCTCATCTGCACGGCTCTTTATTGTCTGAAGCTGCTTCACGCGTGCAATTTTCAAACAGTGTGAACGTTGAATCTTCCTGAGATGTTTGTTCACACGTGTCCCTCACAGCAGACGGGGATAAGGGGAGATGGGGGTCTCTGGAGGCAAGCCATGTGCAATCCGTATCTGTTGTAAAATCTATTCATGCATACCCCAATTCACAGCCAGTGTCAGGTTGTTCTTACTCTGAATCCCTTCCTCTCGTCCAGGGGCCACAACCAGAGGATGGAGTTCCTGGGAGACTCGATCATGCAGCTGGTGGCCACGGAGTACCTCTTCATCCACTTCCCCGACCACCATGAAGGACATTTAACGGTAAGATCCAATCACATGTACAGGAAACTCTCTTTTTGCACCTGTAGTTTTGTTTATCTCGCCTCTGTGGAGATGTTCCGATACTGGTTTGAAAAATGCCACTTAGGGCGCCGATGGTCTAGCTGTTAGTACGCGCCCCAATATACACGGACACTATCGTTCCTGCAAGCGGGCGGCCTGGGTTCAAATCTGACCTGCTGCTCCTTCTGCACATGTCACTCTCTCCCTGGTTTCCAACTCTAGCCACCTTCAACTTATTATTATTATTTTTATTTTTTTTTGCGTGCCTTTTCATTTTACTCATGTTTTATGTCTTTTAAATTGATTCTGTATTTCACTTGCATTTTTCTTTTATCTCATGTGAGCTGCTTTGTATTTTATTTATTCTTCTGTACAGCACTTTGGTTTTAAAGTGCTTAACAAATAAAGTTGGATTGGATTGGATACCCTAAAAGGACAATGCACTGATCCGATATGTTTTTTTAGCATGACAAAATAATCACTTGTTTCTTCTTCTGCTAAACAATAGCCTTCACAGGAAAGATTTAGGGGATGGGTGAAGTAGATGTAATGGGTTATTGTTTATTGATTAGTTATTATGTAAAGCACTTTGTGCTACTTTATTATTATCTGCAAAGTGCTTCTCAAAGTTTGACTGATGAATTAAAAGTATGTGTTGTTTTAGAGTGGGGAGGACTATTTCAAGTATTTATGTAATGATTGCAATCAACAACACATACACATGTTTTCAGTGGAGTATTGTTAACCAAAGGAAGCAAAGTGTTAGCATGATGTGTCTCTCAACAATCATTTTAACGCTGTATGTATATATTCCAGATTCATTCTTATTTTAAAAAAGGTAATAACACAAATATAATAATAATTATTATTATTATAACTTTATTGATATAGAACCTTTTAAAAACACAGGTTTACAAAGTGCTTTGACAAACAGCAAAAACAAGAACAAACTAAACCAAACACAGAAGAACATAAACAACAACAAGAACATAACATGACAAAATACTAAAAATAATTCAATACAATTCAACAGAAAAGAACCCAAAGTGCACGATACCCATCAGACATATAGAACCAGACCATCACAAGAACCATCATAAGAACCATCACAAGAACCATCACAAGAACCATCACAAGAACCATCATAAGAACCATCATGAGAACCATCACAAGAACCATCACAAGAACCATCATAAGAACCATCATAAGAACCCTCATAACAACCATCATGAGAACCATCACAAGAACCATCACGAGAACCATCATGAGAACCATCACAAGAACCATCACGAGAACCATCATAACAACCATCACAAGAACCATCACGAGAACCATCATAAGAACCATCACAAGAACCATCATAAGAACCATCACAAGAACCCAGGCAACACAAGAACCATCATAAGAACCATCACAAGAACCATCACAAGAACCATCACAAGAACCATCATAAGAACCATCATGAGAACCATCACAAGAACCATCACGAGAACCATCATAAGAACCATCACAAGAACCATCATAAGAACCATCACAAGAACCCAGGCAACACAAGAACCATCATAAGAACCATCACAAGAACCATCACAAGAACCATCACAAGAACCATCATAAGAACCATCACAAGAACCATCATGAGAACCATCACAAGAACCATCATAAGAACCATCACAAGAACCATCACAAGAACCATCACAAGAACCATCACAAGAACCCAGGCAACACAAGAACCATCACAAGAACCATCATAAGAACCATCACAAGAACCATCACAAGAACCCAGGCAACACAAGAACCATCACAAGAACCATCACAAGAACCATCACAAGAACCATCACAAGAACCATCACAAGAACCATCACAAGAACCATCACAAGAACCCAGGCAACACAAGAACCATCACAAGAACCATCACAAGAACCCAACAACACGAGCTGAGACCAAGAGGACCAAAGATTTAAAAAGATGTAAGAAACTAAAAGAGATAAAAGTAAATAAAAAGAGAACAGCAATAAGAAGGTAAGAGCAGGAAAAGAAACAGAAACAAATGATTAAATGATCAAATATATGAATGTATTGTTAGGAAATAGGGTTGTTTTTTTACCTCAGGAGTGGCTACAGGCCAAGCGGCTAAGATTAGCTCAGCTTGTTAGCAGTGGCTCATATTGTTTAAACTCTGGGATTCCTTTAGAGGATTGAGCCAGGCCATACAGTAATGTTAGCAAACATAATAGTACAAAACAGATGTATAAATGTGTTGTTTTTATCCTACATGTGTCAGAGAGGTTCGGTGCTTTAGCAGAAACGGAACAGAGAAGAAGAAAATGGTATCGATGGATTTCTCCGTCTTTGTGCCTCTCCCGTCTGAAGTTGCTTTTAACCGCCATTCCTCCCTTCTCCACTCGCCTGGCAGGAAGTTACAGCTGTGCTTTTGTATTTTTGTGTGTGTGGGTGTTATTTCTTCCCTTCTCCACTTCCTTCCTGCCTACCTCCCCATCAATCTTTGATTCTCACAGTGCCAGCCAGGTACTCACCTCCTTCCCTCCTCCTCTGCTCGTTTCCCACAAAGTAACTCTCTTCCTCTGCTCGCCCCACACTGCGCCTCTGTGTTTACTGTACTCCTTGTGATGGGTATTGTCATGAGACAGAATTGCTCAGTGTTTTTTTTTCTCAATAACATGTCTTTTGTTGGCACATTTTGTTTTTCCCCGCCCGAGCTGTCAGGTGTCTGAGAAATAAAGTTGTGGCTTGTAACTCAGGTTGCAAAAGCAAATGATCACACCTTTTGAACATGCAAGTGCGTTTCCTGACAGAAGGCGTCACGACTCCGTCTTCTTATTTCGAGCGTCAGCACTTCTGTTTTTCAGAAGACTTGAGTGCTCCAGGCCAGAGGGATAGAACTGGTCTGAACCTGGAAATAAAAGAACCCTTCTGCAGTCAGATCTTTATTATTCCTTAGAGTTGGAAGCTGTGACGTCATTTGTTTAAAAGCTTCCAGCGAGCTTTGGTGGAGAGACTGAAAGCTCCAGCGATGCCTAAGCTCAGGAGTCAAGAAAGGGGTGCATCTGAAATGGATTTGAAATCGGGGGGGGGAAAGTGCTCATTCAACCGGTGTGTGTGTGTGTGTGTGTGTTTGAGATTCCGTGTGTACTGCTAAGGAGAGCACATCACAGCGAGAAAGATTCAGACAAGTCACATTGCATTCTATTTGCTCTGTTCCGCATCTCGCAGCTATATTTAACGTGTTTGTGTTTTTTTTCCTTTTAGAGTCGTAAATGCACCTCGCCCCGAGTCTAACATGTTGTCATCCTCCCGAGCTCCGAGTCACAATGTAATATTTAACAGAGCAACGTGCAATCTCCCTGAAACATTTACTCCGCATTACCATTTCTGTCTTTGATGAATTATTCTATGTGAGGCTTGTGTTTTTGATGTTTCTGTGTGCTCTCCGTGTAACTCTCATGGCAGCAGTGTTTGTGTGCGGCCACTACCTTCAGCACTTTTCTGACAGGTGGACTGGAGTTTTTTTTCCCGTTCCTTAATACTCACATATTTAACGTGGAGCTCAAATGTTTTTTCTGTGTATCTGTTATGTATATGTTTGACTTCAATGTGGTGCATTTTTTTTTTAAACTGACCTTTTTGGTTTGTCCAAGTTGTTTTCCATGTACCGATAGAATTTTGATGTTGAAGAGGTCATATTCTGCCCTTTTTGGGGTTCATATATTTAATCTATGTACTGAAGTATGTTCACAAAGTTCTAAAAAAGTGTCTGTTTTCATGTCCTGCCGCTCCGTGCACCGGCTCTCTTCTGACTCTCTCTAAGGCTCTGAAGTGCCCACGTTCAGAGTCCCCACGTGTGCCAAGTCTGATCTGATTGGTCGGCCTGTCGGCTCTGCCGTAATTGGTCAGTCACTCAGCACGGTTCTCGGACATGTCCCGCCCCTTTTACCATATTGGGAATGCAGCCACTTTGGCTTCGAGGGGAGAAAAAACATTAGCCACCTTAGCACTACTGTGCTACCGCAGGCTACGGCATATCGTGGGCGTGCTACAGAAATTAATTCAGAAGAAGTTTTTTCCCTCAGGCTGTCACCCTACTGAACTCCATACCCAAGTGTCCTTTGCTCCACCCCCCTCCTCCTCCTCAACCACCCCCCGTGGACACTGCAATACTCCTAAATTCTTGACTTTACATTTGTACTTGACTTTACATTGAACACTGCACTTCCTATACGACTGTATATATAATATCCTATTCCACTTGATATTTATTAGCATATTGTTTATAATGTCCATACTGTAAATATTGTTCATACTGTAACTATCTTATATCCATCAATGCTGCTCTATAATATACCAGTCTTATTTGTATCCTCTGCACCAGCTTACCGTATTACCTTACTACCATATTGCACTTTATGCCTATTCATGTTTGTGCTGCACCTTGTTGCTCTTTTGCACTTTTTTTGGTTAGAATGCCAAAAACATTTTGTTGTCTCTGTACTTGTACTCTGCACAATGACAATAAAGTTGAATCTAATATAATCTAATCTTAATGGGCCTGCAACATGAGCTGCTGGGCTTGCCACAACGAGCCAATGGGCTTAGATCAGTGATCTCACACTGACAAGACGTCACACTGGCAAAGTTTTTTCGAGGGGGGCTAGAACCGAGCGTTACATGCGGCTAATGCTACAGCTAACAGGAGGAGGTAGGAGAAGCGGCGTTTCCGCGGACTTTGAATTTTTGCACATCGATGTGCCTAAACATGCACAGGACACTTGGAAAACACACTAAAGAGCATATAAACCCAGAAAAAAGCAGAATATGACCCCTTTAAAGCTAGAGCAACATTTGTAAGAGAAACTTTATCTGGATTAAAAACAAATAAATAAATGAATAAATTGAACTGATTTATTTTTGTGTCCACAGTTGCTTCGCAGTTCTCTGGTGAACAACCGCACGCAGGCTAAAGTGGCGGAGGAGCTGGGCATGCAGGACTTTGCCATCACCAACGACAAAACCAAACGTCCTGTCGCGCTGCGGACCAAGACTCTGGCTGACCTGTTGGAGTGTAGGTTCACAGCTCTTCTATTCACTTATTCACTATTCAATTAGGCACTGGAGGCTCTGTCACCAAAAGATGGCAGTTTGGTGTGTGTGTGGAGAGCAGGCCTGTGGCTGAGGACCGCAGCTGTCGGGACGGGGTGTAGGGATGCAGGAGGTCGGTGAGGTATGGCGGTGCTAGACCATGGAGAGATTTGTAGGTGAGTAGGAGGAGTTTATATTGGATGCGGGACTTGGCTCAGTGGTAGAGTCGGTCGTCTCTCAACCAGAAGGTCGAGGGGTTCGAGCCCCAGTTACTGCAGCCAAATGTTTGATGTGACCTTGGGCGAGACACTTAACCCCCAAGCTGCTCTCGCTGCTTAATCAGCGGCATACGAATGTGTATCAATTAATCACATCTGATGGTCTCACTGCATAGCAATCACTGCCATCAGTGTGTGAATGTGTAGGTGTGACATCAGGTGTAAAGAGTTCTATTAAAGAGGTGTAAAGAGTTCTTAACAGACGTTTACTAAACCTTAATTTATTGGATGTCTCTTTGGAATGTGCAGTTGAAGACGACAGCATCAAGCACCCTTATCGATTCCTTTTTACTTATTTTTTCCAGGACACTTGAAGATTCCCTCTTCATACTTAATATTACAAGTAACACAAACCATGTCTCTTCTACTGCTGCTGTACTTTAATCAAACTGATGATGTGCTTTGGAATTTATACCAGTTTAATAGATGTTACCAAACAGAATAACACATCTGAAGAATTCCAAAGAAATAATGGCGGTGGTGGATGATTAAGAGCTGGTTGCTACAGTTGTGCATCACTCTGTGACTGTTTGATCCCAGTCGACTTTGAAGTATAACTCTGGTATTTTTAGTTCTGACACTTGGACTCATAAAATTAACCAGGGTCTGAATTAGGGGGGCAATGATACAGTCAGCTCATGGTTCAATACATACCTCGATGTTGCAGGTATCAGCTGTTGGCTGCATGTGACAACAGTTCAGTAGGTTCATATTAGAAACGTGTTTCCACTGAGTAGGCGACCTGGTAAAACAAATGTTTGCAGACTGTGATTTTTTTTGTTTCCTTGTCATTCTACTTAACGCTAAAACCGAAAATGTCCCCACGTCACTGATTTGAAAGATGGGGACGCTTCCTCATACTGCCTCTCCTCGCCGTTCGTTCGTCATGTAAAAGATAATGTGTGATATATGACACCAGTGTTGTCAGCGCCACCAACTTTAATGCATAGTAATTTGGATATCAACTGGTGGGGAGAAGTTTCCTCAATCCAGCGGAGCCAATTCTGAGAGGAGTACAGTGCATGGAAGCGTTGTTGTACACAAAACTGAGAATAACAGTTAGTTTTATATAGAGAAGTGCCGCTCAGATCATGGTTCAAAGTGTCTGACAACATTAGAGAAAGGTAAAGTTTGGTACTACAACTGTTATTGTACCTAAAGCCTGGCTCACACTGTGCGATTTTTCCCCGATTGTATAAAAGTCGGGGTGTCATGTCAGCTCACACTGTACGACCAGACCTTGAGATTGACGTGCTCACACTGTACGACCCGATTGTCGGGCACGGCCGGAGAGCTCACACTGTACGAGTGAAATCGTGATGGAGCGTTGACAATTGTTAATAAAGTTTCATTTGAAAACTCCAAAGGACGACGGTTGGTGAAAGAAAAGGAAGTGGAAGTTGTTGTAGGATATAAGAAAGTTGATACAATCGTAGGTGTATGGTTTCAGAAAAGTGCTGCACTGATGATCTGTACTGAAAACCAGTAAAAACAAGGAACGCCTGGTCGCCATGACTACAGTCCTCCCTTGTCTCTCGTTTTTATATTGTAGTCACACACAACTTCTGCCGGACCCTTTCATGACGTATTCATCAAGATTTTAAATTCTAAATATCAAACATGTTAGTAAATCGGGGCGTTTAAGATTGGATCTTTGTACCGCTCACTCTACGAGATAATCTGAGCAGATAATCGGGTCTGAGCAGCCTCGAGTCGGGACCGAGCAGCCTCGAGTCGGGAGCGACCCTGCGATTGTCGGGAAGGAGGAATCGGAGCTCAAATCGGCCCGATAATCCTGCAGTGTGAGCCAGGCTTAACAGATCACTGGAGTTGCTTGGCTACCACTCACATGACCAGTTTTTGTTTGCATTGTTGTGTACTTTAGTTGTAAAGGTCTGGCTCAGAGGCCAACATAACCCAATGACAAAAGTAACACCTGTCTCAGAGGTAGACCTGCAACTCTTACATAAGGTAAAACGTCATGTTTTTGTCCTTGGAGAAAAGAAACCACAAATCATCTTGCCTCAACAAAAGGGTCCGTCTCTGCAGCAATCTTTCCATAATACTGTCTGAATGATAATCACAGCATATCTGCGGCAAAAACGAGTTCTTTAAATGGACACAACACGATCAGGTAAACGCCCGACTAGATATTCTGCAGCCATCGCAGGCTGTTTTGCAGCTGCTGGCCAAAGTCCCCTGAATTTGTGTACCTATGAGACCATTAAGACCACAGAATATGTAAAAGAGGTTTAAAAAAAAATACCAGAATTACCCTCTTAGTCTTGCTTCCATGATATTATACAAATCAGAGTCGGCAGTTTTGGCAGGGGAAGTAGATTAGTCACATCACCAAGGCAACAACTACAGCACAACTGAAAAGCCAGTGCATTTTCATTTAAAATAAATACTTGTAGCTGTACACCAAACTCACTCACTGTCGATGCATTGAGGTGTACTTTCTCTTTAAATCGCTGACTAAGTGAAAAAACAGAAACGTTATAACATTAAAATAGGAACACTGCAGAACTGTGAGTGTGTTTCACATTATATTGAGTCCTAGTGTCAGAGCTCCTGTTTCTCCTAACACAGCCATATTTGACTTTTGATTATAAATACAAGTTTCAAACTGTGAGCTGCACTGTATGTGGTCTGCTCTGCACCGAGGCACTTTTCCATTTGATTAGATAAAAGGTAGAAAGTCATAGTCCTGCTAATTTAATTGGCTTGTCAATAATAAGGTGTTACTTTAAAATGTGCAATATTAAATAATAAAATGGGTTTCCTGCTGTGAGAGCTGTGGGTTAACCCGATGTGTCAGGGACAGCAGCACTATTAGTGACTTCTTTCCTCTGGTGCTCATGATGTCGGCAAAGCAAGATTATTTATAAGCACCTTTCAGACGCACTCAGGTAGTTCAGAGTGCTTCACAGGGGTGTAGTACATTAAAAACAAGCCCATTAGGAAACATTTAGGAGACAATAATAAGAAAATAAATACAAAAAAATAAGATTAAAAGAGTCAGAGATTGCAATAAACAATTCACAAATTATGTAATATTCAAACCAAGCATGTCAAAAAACTGAAACAGTGATGTCATTATGATGCAACACATCGTTGTTTCTTTACATGAAAAATGTCCGACTCAGCATTTTTTCATGGTTGCAATTTTTGGTACTTAAAGAAAATATTTGACAATTAGAGAAGTTCACCAGATCAATTAAATGATTCTTATAATTATTTGTATTCGTTTGTCTGATATTGTAAAGAAAGGAGTCACTCCCTTCAGTCTGACGGGGGTAACCAGCCTGCACCAGCTGCAATGATTTACATCGGAAAATATGTGCTCAACTTTGTTTGTTCGGCACCTTTTATACATACAAGCATGCAGCCCAGAGAGGCTTCACAGGGGAACGCCAGATGGGAAATAAAATCACAAATTGACAGAACGAGGTAGAATTTTTAAAAATTACACTGAAACAGGAAAGAAGACGAGAATGAGTAAAACAGCTTTTAGAAAAGTTAAAAGTCATAGATTAAAAAAAAGAAGTGAAAATGAGCACAGTAAAAAAAATATATTTAAAGTTAGTCAATGAAAATACAATTAAAATCAGTATGAAATACATTTAGAAATGATCCAAATTGCGGTAACATGAACGTACTGCATATAAAAAAGGATGTGCTGCTAAAAGAAGAAACAGCTGCATTAACATCAAGCACGCTGCAAATACGCTGCACCTATGCAAAGTCAAAAACGAGAACAAGAGGACGCTGCACATCCAGCCAACGGAAGGTCATGGATTTAGTTTGCATAGTTTGAATATTTGAAGCATGTTTGATGTTAATGCAGCCGTTTGAGCTATCTGCAGCTTCTTTTTTTTTTTACATGCAGCTCGTTTACATATTTCCATTTGTTTAGTCTTTTACACGTGTCTAGGCATTTGCCGCATACTTTTTCAGTAAATGGTTTGCAGGTTGTGCAGGTGGGATGCTCATGTGAGCCACCATACCCATCTTTATAAGAAAAAAAAAAACTGATGCAAAGTCATGACAGTATTCAGACACTGCTGTGGTTTTATGATTGAAACAAACTGTAGTACATTAAGTAGATTTAATAACATCTGTCTTGTCTCCACTTCAATTTTTACTCCTCCCTGGTTTGGATGAAAAGCTGAAGAATACAAAATAACTCAACTATGATGTAAGTTCTTCCTGTGGCACTGATTGGAGAACTGTAAACCAACCTGCTACCCTCACTGGATCGATGGATCCTCAATGAACCCTAAATGTATTTTTCCTCCCTCAAATATATTACGAATAAGGCCTCGAGAAAATGCACGATTTGTCTGACTTCAATGGACGCTCTCTAGTCAGACAGTGCGTTTTATTACTTAGCCTCAAGTTTGGTTATAAATGCACAAAGTGCCTCAAGTCTCAAAATATGAAAACCAATGAGTTCTTCTTTTATTAAACTGTTCATGGGGGTATAAAATCAAATCAATGTATGGAAAGAGGTAATGAGAGTAAGCCTTTCTTTACACTTCATGCACATATCTTGAAAGCAGAAGAGAGCAGACCTGGCAGCTTCAGGGAAGACAGTGAAGTGGCCATACAAAAAAAAGCACTGATGCATTTCCAGGTCAGCCTTCAATAAGCAGACCTTAGTACAAGAGCTTCATATCATTTGCCTTTCAAATGGTCCTCCAGAGTGCGGGGCTGGAGCAGAGTTGATGACACAGGAAGAGTGAGACGAGGGGTCAGCGCTGAAAATGAGCGCGGCTCTTGGGCATATGAACAGTTGTGCCCCGCAGCTACTTCAGGCCCCCTCGCTGGCCTCCTGAAAATATTACCTATTATTCCTCTCGTCGTGTCCCACCGTCTTAGTCAGAGCAGAAGAGGAAAACAAACGGGGGACAGCCGGGAGATGAAGATGACATCCACCACCACCTACTGCTTACATTTCAAAACCCTTTTCTCTTTTTCTTTTTTTTTTTCAGCTCAGTTACTCTCAATTCATCTTGATGTACGGCTTCATCTCATACACTATAGAGATGTTTCTGTGAACTCTGCGTGGCCCCTCACTTTACTCATTTCCTGTTTGAAGGGAAAAAGGCAGCATCTTCAGAGCCATCGCTTTTCAAATAGTTTATATTAACATCAAGCCACTTTGCTGTCGAGAGCCACAGCTGATTCCCCTCCTCTGCTTTTTGTTTTATTTTCCTTTAAATCGAGCCGAAAAAAAAAAAAGAAGAAGCCACACATCACCTGCCATCTTTTATTGATTTTTTATCTTTATGTAACTTCTTTATTTTCTGTGTTTGTCCCGCAGCTTTCATCGCCGCTCTCTACATTGATAAAGATCTGGAGTACGTGCACACCTTCATGAACGTCTGCTTCTTCCCCCGGCTGAAGGTGAGCCCCTTATTGATAGCCATTCAGCGGCCTCGCGTCTGATCAATGAGCCGCTGAGCTGAGCCACCTCGGAGAGACAAAAGAAACGGGGATGATGATGATGATGATGATGATGATGAGGGAGCTAATGGCTGGGCCTTAATGGGGCTAGAATCGACGGAAGGTCTCACAAGTGGTGCTTCGGCTGTTGAGTGCCTTGATCACTATTTTAGTCATCTTTAACAGGAACCGCGATGCTGTTTTCCTATTGGTTCCAAGGAGTGCTTGGGCTGTTACTGGCATCCACTTCTCGGCTCTTCTAAGAGTCGCAATAGATGGAGGAAGCCCTCGCTCAAGCCTCCCACGGTCACATGTGAGTTAAGGAGGACAGCATCTCAAGCACTACTGCATTCTCCAAATTTAGACAGAAGAGCCCTGAGACGCAGAGTATCGCATACACTCTCATATCTTAAAGAGGCATGCGCAGAGGAGTGCTCACAAAAGCAGTAGCCACCCAGCGTGGACCTCTCCTTGTGAAGAGATGCTGCAGTGGTCTGATATTCCATGCTAATTGCTGTCTTGGTGTGCCTCTCCAGGAGAATCCACGGCTCTGGAGGAGCTGAGCTTTGCGTCATGGTCGCTGCAAGAGAGCACCTCATTTCCACTTCCAAGAGAGAAAAAAAGTTGTGAAACCGGCAGCACGTCTCCTTACATAGCCTTCTGGAAACCACAGCGTTGCACACTTTGCTGCTTCATCCAATTTGGATGGAAATAGAGAGGCAAAAAAAAAAACAGGGGCATAAACGCTCCTTTTTCCTTATGTTCGCTCCTTGCCTTGTGAAGAAAGCACAGCTATATGCTACGCTCTTGCTTTTTCAAAACAGCCTAATTTCTCTGCTTTGGGCTAAAGGGGGTGCAGCTGCCCCCCCAGAGAGAGCAAAAAGTGGGAAAGCAGAAAAAAAAAAGGGAAAGTAAAGCGCAAAAAGCAAGAGAGATGGAGAGAGGTTTGGTGGGAGGCAGAGCAGGAGAGCGCTAGCAACAGAAGCAGCAGAAGCACTCTTTGTAGAAAATTAATAGGAGCAGACAGTTCTGGATTCAAAGTCTGCCTTTTTATGACAAGGCTGCTTCCCTGTTAATGGAAGGGGCTTTTAGAAGTCCCTGTTGGATAAGAGAAATGTATCAGGGCCGCACACCTGGGACACTCCCAGACGCTCTTTATATCTGGACGGGGATTGGCTTTTGTCTTAAGTAGCCAGTGATTTGTACTCACCGTGAAGAGAGCCAGTCAGCGAGAGAGCAAATAAGTGAGGGGGTAAAAATGGTACAGAGGGTCAAAGCTGGAATGAAATAAAAGCATTTTGTGAACGGGGGGGTGGGGTGGGGGGTTTGCAACTGCAGCAGATTTTTATTTTTTTATATTTTACTAGTTTCTGGCTCTGTAAAAGAAGTTGATTGAATGTGATTTGTTTGTTTTATTGTGTTGCAGGAGTTTATCCTGAACCAGGACTGGAATGACCCGAAGTCTCAGCTGCAGCAGTGCTGTTTGACCCTGAGGACTGAGGGCAAGGAGCCCGACATCCCACTGTACAAGTAAGGGCCCGCTAACACAGCAGTGATGTTGAATATTAAGAATTTCCTCAGGCGTTTAATCTTCTGAAAGAGGCATTTTCCAAAGCTGTTCGTTGTGCTGCTGTATCTGTTTTAGCACCTTAACCAATCCCTTACCTGACTGGAGAATCTTCTCCCAACTGCTTTAACACTTTATCTGCTAAAGCGCCTGTCAGGAGATTATAGCGGGTTAGGTAAGTGACTGATATTAACACTAATACTCCTAATAATGGTCTGCCAGACGAGGTGATTGACAGCACAAAAAAAACTTTTTTTACATTTTCCACCTCCAAGAATCAAGTGGAGTTAAAAGACAAGGAGGACAATTTTCATCTGAAAGCATTTCTTACGCATACACAGGACAAGGTCAACAAAGAGATGAAAGGTACTGCTTAGTCCACTGGGGGCGCCAAAATCAACACAAGCAGAAATTCCCTCACTTATTTAAATGTAAAATAATAACAGAATCCATTTAAAACATGTATTCTTTAGTTTTTAATCTCTAATTTTAAACAAGCGAAAAGGAGAGAATCCATGGTTGGCCCTTGAAATGTGCTGTTTGTCTTTTCAGAGGTGTGTATTGTGTGAAAATAAAATCAAAAGTTAATTTGAAGCAGCATATCCAATATGGTGTCCGCCACCGCTGGGCTTCAAAAGTCACTGAGACTACGTCCATTTTTATATCCAGTCAATGGTCTGTGCCCCAGCCCCAAGTCTGGCTCTTCCCTTCTGACTCCCTGTACCCTTACATATGAAAGACAAAGCTCCTACCTGCTCGCCTCAGTATAACCAGAATCATCTTCTGTGTTAATCCTAAATGTGTCTTTATGTAACCTTACAAATGTGAGACCCTAAAGAGACCTAAACTTTTTCATAAACCTTCAAAATATACACGGAAGCAAATGTTTGTCGCCCTGTGTTCAGCCTGACTCAGAGTCGGTTTAAAGGGGTTCAGCGAAGCATAACATGGACCCACATTATGGAGAGAAATGAAATGGCACAAACATAATTCACGGGACTTTTTTTTTTTCTCTCCCTCTGCGTTGGTCCCTGAACATTGTGAATAGCTGTGTAAAAGGTCTCTGTTGTTGTGATAAGTAAACACACCCCAAAGAGACCTCTTATTTGACAAAAGGTCAAGGAGCAAGTGTCATTTGACAGAATGCTTTTCAGAAACCGCCATGAAGCAGTGTGTGTTTGTCGCCATGGAAACTGACAAACAGTGTTTTCTCCAAGGAGGAGGAAAAAAAAAAAAAGAGGGTCAACTGGATGTGCATGGGTGTTTGGAGACGGAGCGCTTTTTTATGTACAATGAACTCCAACGATCCAGTTCCCCTCTTCCTCCCTTTCTGTCTTCGTTGTGTTTATTTGAATATATCTCCCAACGCTTCTATTTATTATTCTCCCTATCTACCCCCGACGCGTGGTGATTTTTGACACAGCACAACTCTGACACTACAATCAACACTTCCAACTCTACAGCCCACCGAAGAACGTGAACGCGGAACAAATAAGAAGCTCCTGTCTGACTTGAATTCCAACATTCAAAGACACGATGCGCACATAAAGCTGAGTGGAGGCTTCTGCAACAGCCTTGAGTGATATAATAACTTTTTGTTACCATTTAAAGAATAAACAGGAGCAGTCGCTTCATGTGACCTGACCCCTATTGGTCTATTGACTTGATTCACAAGATGGCCATTTTTTCTTTGTCCTCTTGTTCAAGATGGGAAGCTCAAATGGTGTCATAATGTTGCTCTGCTGTGTTTGTATAACTTTTAATAGAGAACAAATCAATATGATTTAACTAGGTTATTGGATGTTTTTAGGACCCTCTTGGAATGCAAATGATTATTATTTTTATTTTTAATCCTCCTCTTTGATGCCACGTTGAGGGCCTGAACGTGCCCAAAAACTCAGCAAACTTTCCACAGTCATCAGGTCTAACAAATTTTGCAAAATGGCTCAGTGGCGCCCCCTTGAAATGTTCAAAAAGGCCTCCCCATAAAGGGTTTTTTACGTACACTCATGAAAATTTGTACGCATATTAAGCTTGTCGAGACGGACTAAAAATCCTATTGCAGCGTTTAAAAAAAAAAACGACAGGAAGTCCACAAATTAAAGTTGAATTTCACAAAAATGGCCCAAAATCGCAGATTTCAGCCTTCCTATTTGAAGGATCTTGTTGTTTTTTGGTACATTGTTATGTCTGCTCAACACTGCTCCATGTCTGTCCTGCATGATATACATTTTTTATATTAACCAAATGCTACTTTATGTGTATCCTGCATGGTTTATGTATTTTCTCCTGTGGCTGCTTAATTACTGTCATGAGATTTCTATTTTTGTAGCTTTTAGCGATGTTTGAATTAGTTTTTTGTTTTTTTTGAGGGAGCCTTTTATAAAATCTGGCCACGGACAACAGATGAAAAGATTTAGATTTTAGATTTTTTTTATTTTTTTTATTGTCCCACAAGGGGAAATTTGCGTTGCAACAGGAGCACACAGAAGACAAGAAACACAAAGACAACATCAACATAAAACATCAACCAAAACAAATTACAAAAATCGCAACATAATCAGTCAAGAGCCCGGACCAGAATGGGAATTCAGGTTATTAAAGTGCAAAGTGGAGGTGTGCAAATGTGCAATTCAAGTGCAAAAAGAGCACAAAAAGAGCACAAAAAGAGCACAAAAAGAGCACAAAAAGAGCACAAAAAGAGCGGGCATATTTACCGAAATGTTTATCAAGATGCAATGTCCCTGGAAAATACAAAAATAAAATCTAAAAACAAATAAACTGCTTTTAAATTGATATAAAAGCTAAAACGAAAGCAGTGGAATCTGTAGGAAACTCAGGGATTACTTATAGTAGTTGGGTGGGTTTGATAACCCATTTACAACAGAGAAATGCGGCTAGCATTAGCATACAACCATTTACTTAACATAAGCATTTGAAAGTGTAAAAAGAAAAGAAAGCCCTTTATTTCTAGCTAACTGTAATGTTATGTGTATATATTTTTAACTTCCCCCCCCCGAGTGATGTCAGAGGGAGATTGTTGTGTGAACGCTGCAAGACTGTCTCCAGGATCCGTCTGTATTCGTTGAAACAAGTTCTAAAGGTAGAAGAACAGAGGGGTGAGACTTAAGGTGTGAGCCGGGTGGAAAGGGGCCTAAATGATCGCAGGAGGGCAGGAAAGGACACAGGAAAGGACACAGGAAAGGGGTGGAAGGATGGGAGTTAATGCACCAAGCCCCTCCTGCTAAAGGTTCCCTCGGTGAATGTGTCTGCCTGTTGACAGATTCACACCTCAACCTCCAGCACCATCACTTCACTATACATCTCGTCTGGGCAGGAGACACACCAGGGAGCACACACACACACACACACACACACACACACACACACACACACACACACACACACACACACACACACACACACACACACACACTTCTACATTGTGCAGAGAATGGCCTCAGACAGTAAGTAGCTGCTTTTAGTGTGAGCCGAAGCTTGTACAAGACCCTCTACGGTGCCGTTTCTTTTCTCCCTCGCACGCTTCCATCTGTGCACAAGCCTTGAAGTTGACAACTTCCCAACAGCTCACAGATTTTCCTTTTCATTCCGTCTCGTTTTTTGTGTTATTTTAGCAGCGTGATAATTCCAAGTGACACGCTCTCCCTATTGAGATTTGGCTTTAAAAAAAAAAAAAAACCGTGGCGCACTGAAGTCTTATTTGCTGCACACATGCTATGTGCCTCTTCATTTGTAAGTGAGAAAGGAAGTCTGAATTATTGATAACGTGTCATAAGTGACCACATTGCATTAAAAATGGATCGCTCTCCTGAAATAAGTAAATTGTCCGTGAATAATTCAGGCGACTCACAGCTTGGGTCTGGGATGTTTATGCTAATGTTAACATTTCAAACATCTCCCAAGTTTTGTCTGCTTGTCTTGTACACGCGTCCCAGCAGAGATGACGAGCTGTTTTCTTTTTAAATGAGGTACATCTGTAAATGAAGCGAGAGATATTCTCCTGCTGCCGTGGCGCTCCTCCTCAGTTTTCTTCTCTTTTATTTACCCTTCCAGCACACCAAAGACTCATGGGGGGGGGGGGGGGTCTCTCGTATTGTCACTCCTTTATTTCCGTTTGTCATTCTTTTTTTGTATTTTCTCTACCGTATACAGATCTTTGTTTCTGAAGATGATGGGTGTGGGGAGTTTTGGAAGGCTTTAAAAAGTTGTTTATATCTCCCTCAGATGGCTCACGCTCGCTCTCAAAGCACGCCACTGAATCAAAGCCCTGTTCCCCCTCCTCTCAACCCACCGCTTCAGATGAATTATATTTCTTCCAATTTTTTTTTTTTTTCTTTTTCTTGTTATTTCTCTGAAGGACAATGTCCCCGAGCGTCCTTGTGCCTTTTCCCCCCTCATGTGTTATTACTTCACAACTCGAGCCTTCTCCGTCTCATCCCAATATTTCTGTGTTTGAATTTTTTTGCAGGACCCTGCAGACAGTGGGGCCCTCGCATGCCCGCACCTACACCGTCGCTGTGTACTTCAAAGGGGAGCGAATCGGCTGTGGCAAAGGCCCAAGGTGAGTGAGACAATATAAGACGACACACAACAGAAACAAGGCGCTCCACTTCTCAACGCGCCGCTAATGGGGCCTGAGAATAATGGCCGTGCTTTATTGATGGTGTTTATTATAGCAATTAAGCTCTTGTTGGGGCCTATTCTACCGGGAGAGACATTATGCAGAATGAAAATGAATCGATTCATTATTGATTCGACGTAAATTGCGTTATGAAAATATCACTTTGTGCAGGAGAGGAGTCTGTGACCAGGCGACACTCTGCATCTAAGGCTGTGTTTTATGTCTACCTGGGTTATTGTGTTCACAGCAGGATGGGGATGTTTGTTTGTGTGTGCATGTTTGTTTGTGTTATTATGACTGCACACCTTTTGTCTGCGCTCACACATTCAGTAAAGAAAGTGAGTCCCTGCACAGAGACCTTTTTCAGGGGTGGAAGGGTTGACAATAAAGCTGCAGCTGAGCCTGCGAGAAATGAAACCTAAATCCATCCAACCCTCCAACCCTCTCTCTCTCTCCACATGTGGAAATCCCCCCCTCCACGGCCCCCTTACTTGAAAGCGCTCTCGCTCTAAGCTGGCGATAACTTTGTCTCTTCCATAGGATCTTTGACAGCTTACTGTTTTTGTATTTACATGACTTAAGCTCCCCGCCACCTCCGCTGCCTGGGCTATGATCACACAGGCGCGTAATATATACGGAGGGACGGTGAATCGTAAAGGCGTAAACAGTGCCCGGCGCAGAGCCGCCAACAGGCTTACCTTTTTGAAATGTGCGCGCTGTGTTACCTGGGATTGTTTGGCAGAAAGGCTTCTTTCAAAACAAATATAATGCACTTTTGATAATCCGCTCAATATTGGGCCGTTTTTTTTTTTTTTTTCTTTGACAGAAATTCAAAAAAGGGACATTTTGAATATGCTAAAGACCTTTTCTCCCCTCTCTTTCTCTCTCTCTCCTTTTTTCAAATATTTCTAATCTAGTATCCAACAGGCAGAAATGGGAGCTGCGATGGATGCGCTTGAAAAATGTGAGTTGTTTGGCAACCCCCTCCTCCTCCACAAACCCACTCACACACACACACACACACACACACACACACACACACACACACACACACACACACACACACACACACACACACACACACACTTATATTCACACTTTAAGCCTCGGTGTTGAATATTAGCCTTGGCTGTACGGTATGCAAGATGGCTGGCAGAGAGCTGTGGCCTGAGCAGCCGGTTGGCTGCGACATATAGGACATTAGGCTGTTTGAAGTGCTCGCCCAGAGCACGGGCATGAGGCCTAGCCAGGCATGGAGAACCCACTAATAAAACAAGGACAGGGGAAGCTGAGCCTCCTCGAACATGTCGATCATCCTGCGGGACTTGAGGAAGTTTGTGTCGAGGACCGTGCAAAGTTTTTTTTGTTTTTTTCGAGCCCTTTTTAAAACACCAAGAGAGCGAGGCTTCACGCGCCGTGCTCTTCACATCTGAAGGAGTGCACCTGACGTGTTCCCCGCACGCCACTTCAACTCTTGGCTGGTTTTCATCTTGTCATCAACAACCACTTAAGGAGAATAGATAGTGGGTTTTTAGGTATTTACAAAGTCTTATTCACTGCCAAGTAAAAATACAATTACAGGGCTCTCATGAGCTATTTCCATTAACAGCTACTCTGTGTGCCCGCCGCATTAATCAAATATACAATTTGTTCTATACTCAACTAATTAGCTGGAGGTGAACACAAATGGGTTTTTGTTGGAGCGGGTCTGTGAACGTTGCAGAGGGCACGCGGGTCAAGCTTTGATTCGGTTTGGCTCATAAATGAGGCCTCCAGCCATTTGTGATGGATACTGTTTGTGCAGCCCGAGCTTTTAGCATTTTATGAAACATTAGCGTTGAGGGTGCTATTATTAAAAGATCCTCTCTCTGCCTGCATCTTCCCCTCACCTCGCTCCCTCCCTCCTTATCAGGGGGCGTAGTTCAGTGCACACACACTCTCTCTCCTGTGTCGTCCTCCCTCCCTTAATTCCTCCCATTTTCCTCTCCCCAGTGTACACCTCTGTCACCATGATTGATAGATGCTCATTGCGAGTAAATGAACATTTCCCCCCTCATAAATTGCTGTTTCATGTGACTAGATTAGCAATGCCTTTTTAAAAGGTCAGTTGATTTAAAATCCGCACTACAAGTCCTTCCTTCCTTCCACGCAAAAACGCTTCCAGTTTCAGGGACTTTGTTTTGACTTTGGAGAGTCACTTAATTTACGACCCTAAAGCTCGACGTGCTCTTCCTCTCACCTGGAGTACCTGAGGTGAGCGTGTCAATTATTTAGATAAATATTAGTCTTGTTAATAATAGAGTAGGCACAAACTCTATTATACTCTTCCAACACAAAATATGCCCCATCAAAGAATATCCCCTGTGTGTTTTGTTTTTTCTCCTGACAGGTTCAGATTTAAATTGAAATGTCTGACAACATTAAAGGATTGGTGGGTGAAGAAATAGCTTATTTTGGTATGGTAAGATCTTTTTTTAACCAGGAGCTCAGATGTTACATCACTCCCTTCAAAGCCAACCGACTCCATTTGCAAAAAAAAAAAACTGTCAGTATTTGATCTCACAGAACACAGGAGTCAAATGTCTACGAAGCCTCTACAGGTCATTTTTGTCTCTGCTGGATCTGAGTTCATATTTCAAAACTTCAAGTCATGCAGTAATACAAAAAAAACTAGCCGTTGTGGAAGCTGTAAACAAGCAGCTCCTGTTTTCTGTAAATTAGAATTAAACATTTTATCAATGGAGTTTGGGGGCTATAAGCAGAGTGATGTAACTTCTTTTTTTGGCAACAACAAAAACAGTAATTATTTTCCAACAAAGTCCATACCTGAGCAATCCTTTCTGCAGTGTTGTCAAACATATATTAAAAAACAATCAGGCTGGCTACACGCTTACAATGTTTAAATCTTAACCGTGTTTCTTTAATCTTTAAAGGTTTTATATGTGATTTTTTTTGATCCAGCAGATGTCGCCCTTGAGCACCAGCATGAAACCAAAACAACGCACGCTGCATTGTTGTGTTAGCATGCTAATGCTAGCGATCTTTATTAAGCTGGTATCTTCACACTGCATGTAAATTTACCTGAAATGAGCGTGATCTAGAAACACAGTTAAGCAGTGAGTACAGTATGTTATTCTTCTTTTCTCTAGTCCCTCAATTAAACAACTTTTATACACGAGGGGAGGAGTCAGCCGGCCGTCCGGGCGATGTAAACAAAGTGAAGATAGGACTCTGAAAACTCTGAAAACATCACAGACAGTGGGACTCGGGTGTTACACACATTGTAGACAGTCATGACTCACAGAGTTATTTTCAGAGGATATACTTGATTTATATTATATTTAAGTGTGGCAAGCCTTAACTGACTCGCAGTTTTTTTTTACAGCCTATCTTGCAGCTATTGGTTGAAGCAAATCCACTGAAGTAATCCTGAAACTTTTAAAATGTATTACTTACTTAGTCTCGGGTGTTACACACATTGTAGACAGTCATGACTCACAGAGTTATTTTCAGAGGATATACTTGATTTATATTATATTTAAGTGTGGCAAGCCTTAACTGACTCGCAGTTTTTTTTTACAGCCTATCTTGCAGCTATTGGTTGAAGCAAATCCACTGAAGTAATCCTGAAACTTTTAAAATGTATTACTTACTTAGTCGTCGAGGCCCCCGATCTGTATAAAAGTATTGTGTTGCAAAGTACTGTAATGCCTGTAAAAAGATAAGTGGATAAATTTACATATTTCTTTTCTGAATGTCATTGAGTTTGGGGGTATTGATCATACAAACACACGCTCCGGGAACCAAAATAAATCAAACAGTTTATATTATATCAGAAGAAGCTTTTCAATATTATAATCAATCATTATTTGCAGCCCTAATGTGGTTGCATCAAGTTGTTAGACTTCCACCAGTGGATTGGTGATTCTTCCACCATCCATCATTCACAGGTAGGTCTCATTATTCAGAGGTAGTTTCCCTCGAAGATCATTCCTTATATTTTTTTCCATTCGCGGCCTGTATTAATCACTTCTTTTGCCATGAGTTGCTCATTCTTACTCTCCAGTTTTCATTGTTGAACATCTTCCTGTCAGGATAAATATGCAAGGTGAGTCAGCGGGGCTCAAACATGCCTTTTGAAGGATGTGTTTGCTCCTGACCATGAGCTGATGTAATGAGACTGGAGCTCCTCTGCCGCAGAAACCAGCCTCGACTCCTACCCGAGCCACATTGTCTCTCCTGTGATTGTCAACCGGCCTCGCTTCATTTGTTCGCATTGCAAGACTAATCAAGGACATTAGCCCCGGTGTCATGTAATTCGTCATTGATTGTCTTGTTGGCCACTCGCTGCAGCATCGGCTACACCATCACTCCTCCTGTACAGCGGTGTTACCTTGTGTAACTCCCGGAATCGAAAAGCAGCTTCGCCGCGACGTGTCAGGATTCATTTCCATGTTTTATTTAAAGGTCTCCTCGAGTATCAGGAGCACTTTGAGCCGGATTGAACTTTTTGTTTCTGCTGCGGCGCTCTCTTTCCTGGCAGACAGGATCCGCGGCTCTGGCGGTGTCGGAGGAGGTGAAAGACATGGCTGCGTTCAGTCAGACAGCTGAGAGCTCATTAAAGAGACCCAGGCCCCAATATTTTGGTGTATGCGCTTGTCTGCAGCCGATCCGCTGGTGGCTCCGGCTTATTCACATTTCATTACTTGATGGCCGACGTTTTCTTGACAGTCTCCTGCCTGTATCCATCAAGGCAGAATTAAATGTTAACCAAGGCCCGGACCGGGAGCAAACATGAGTGCAAACAAATCGAGCTAAGAGCAGCCAGGTAGGGGAACCAAGTCGAAGGGAAGGGTGCAGAGTTTCCCAGGCCCTGAGGCTGCGTGCACCACGCGCCATTAGGTCTAAGGCGACATCAAATATACATGGAAACGGCTTAGCCAT